TAGGATTTATTTTTCCTGATGCCACCTAATGATTTATTAATTATGGAAGCAGATTAGCCAGATCTCTTCCACAGTTTTACTTCCAAAAGTGTATCAGGAGGGTTCTGGAAACCATCACACCCTACTCTGACATAGATATGACAGTCAAAAAAAAACCCAAACAATTTCCTATGTAAATACAGCTTACATTAGGAAAAGGCAGGCAAACGTGCACCCCTCCAGAAAGCATCGCATTTTTGCATGTACAAACTTCATCTCTTCTCATGGAATGAGTAATACAGTTTTGATGCAAAATTTGTGATGGTCCACACTAACCCCTTGCTTGGTCAGTCTGTGAGATTTCACAAAGCACTTCAATTCACTTCTAACTTAATAAGCCTATTTTCCATGTGTCTTCATTTTGCTGATCTAACACTATGAGACTAATAAAATTTGTGAGACTGATTTCTAGCTTTATGTTTTGCAAGGTACTGTCCATCTCTATCAATCAGCCTGAATATTTTAGCTTCTACAGTACAAATTACACAGTGCATTTGTTCTAATACTTCCAAATGTGACTGCAGTAGTCACAGTGCAGTCCTCAATTATTTTAAAAACATCTACTTAACTGGCCTGATTTACACACACTAATGAGGCAGACTCCCCTTAAACTCAGCTGAAGGATTCTCTGACCAAAACCTGCAGAATAAATTCAATTTCTAATGAGAGTTGAAATGCTAGCCCCACTGAAATTAGTAGAAATTTTCTACTGGTTTAATGGAGCTAGGATTGAATTTCTTAATATTTCTTGAAATATTTTCTTTTTTAATAAAAAATATTTACAGTATGTGGATACAGGAAGAGACAAAATATATAAACAAGTCAGTGATAATAAATATATTTCAATTTGTAAAATAACTGCCAAACCTAATCCTGTTTCATTGAAGTGAAGATTGGACCTCTAGTCTTAACTCTAGCAGCTCAGATAAAATAACATAACAATCCAGCAAAAACACTAAAAGACTCTGTGGACTTAAAAGGAGATGCATATTTCTGACCAAATTATTTTGTCCTAATACTGTTAAAAATAACACTGAAGAAGAGTATATCTTAAAGTTTTAAGAATTTTTTCCTTCCCTCCCACCATCTTTTTCTTTCTTTTTTTCAATAGAAACACCAAATAAAGTTTAACTGCCTTTATTTGAATGTGTTGTGTGCTACCGTTACCGTTACCTTCCCCTTCCCCCTCCCCAACCCCCAATAAAACCTGAAAATTCAAATGTTTTATCAGAAGCATGAGAAGCAAAACCCCCAAACACTCAGATAAAACAATGTGTGAAGGGTGGGATTTCTTGCAGACCCCATTTGAGGGAGGGAAGCAGCACAAATCCCCGAGGAAGAACTTGCAGCCTAAGCCTGCAAAAACACTGCACACTAAAGCCTCTGGAACTGCCAAGGACTCCTACATATTGTCCAATTCTAGGAGCATATCCTTTAATTTTTCATTTAGTGAATTGCCAATTTGTATTTATTGATATTTGAAGACATTTCTTTTGCATTTGCAAAAAAAAAAAAAGCTAACAAAGTAGCTGTGCTTTACCTGCTACTAAATACTGACTCCACAGTTATATGGGTGTTCAATCACCCCATGCAGAAACCGCTGCTGCATGGAAAACATAATTCAATATTAAAAATGGCAATATATATATGAACTTGGATAGGCCAGTTGGGTTTAAACTGACACCATCTTCCAGCCTGCACCAGATGATCTGACTTGACATTTACTTCTTCAAGTGATGCAGAGAGTTGACCAAAGTACAGGGGGGTTGTACAAGGGGGTTGTACAGAGGGGTTGTACAAGGGGGTTAGAGGAATTTGCTTGCTTAAACAAAAGTATTGTCTGTTGTAAATGCCTGCTAAGCAGAACAAAGGCACCTGGTCCTATTGATAAGGAAAAGCAGACACTTGGTCCTATTGATAAGCAGCTATTGATAAGGAAAAGCAGACGCCTGAATCTACTGATAAGGGGGAGAAGCAGATGGTTTATGGCTGGGATACCGACCAAACCCTAAGGCCATAGGTGAAGACTAAAAGGTAAAAAGTGCAAGAAGAGGAAGACTCATTTACTTCATATTGAAGACCCCTACCCACAGGAGGAAGAGTCATTTACTTCATCTTGAGACCCCTGCCCATGACCAAAGGGGGCAGTGCGCAGGTGCAGAGGACCTTCTGGCTCATTATAATACGAAGCGGGGATAGGACATGAATATGTATAGGCATGTTGTGCAACCTTATAAATATATATAACTTTAGAGAATAAAAGTAGAGGGAAACAACACTGAGGCACGCATGACTTTGAGGAATTATCCCCGTGCATCTCAGCGCTGAATAAAAAGCATACCTACTTTACAACTTTAACGAGTTGTGGAGTCAATCCGCGCACCACAAGCAATAAGTAAAATCCTTTAAAGAAACCTTCTAGTTTCTTTACTCCACTCTTAAGTATAAAACCTAGGACAATTAGAGAAACTCTAAATTATCATCTGTGATTCTCCACATCTGTGGCAAAACTCCTACTGAATTCTTTTCTACTTGTTAAATTTGCTGGTATTGATGTAACTTGTTGAGATGTGAGCATACATTCAAAATGTAACTCTCATTTGGAAATTTGAAGTGTTTCCTTCTGATAACCAAAAAATAGTCTTAAATAAGGCTAGACTACTTTAATGAAATACAGAATGGATAATATTATAATTTATCTCAAAATTTCAGCTGAAGAAATTTTAACTCCCTGAAACTTTCTCGTCAAAGCCCTTTGAAAATAAGAGCTTATAACAGAAATCATGACAAACTTAACTGCAGCCATATAATATAACAAAAATATTTCCAGGAAAAAAAAATAATCTGAAATTACATATTGGGAATCTGTTTTCTCAGAGATGCCAAAGGCTGTGGCCACACAGGTTTAAAATACATTCAGCACTAGGATTGGTATATGAAGGCTTGTTTCTTCAGTGCTCTGCATGTTTCAAATTCACATTACAAAGCAAGAAGAGAGATGCTCCTGTTTAATTGTGCAGCCTGCCAAACCCTTCATCCAGTAGGTCATACTACACCTGAATAATAGAAAGCTGGAGTTCCACCTTTGTTGTGTAAATCAACACACAATTTTAATTTCAAAGGAGGTGATTTATGACAGCTGAAGATCTGGCTTGAGTTTTGAGGCAAGTGAAAAGAGCAACCCAACAAAGTAATATTTACCATTCACAAAACTATTTCCAACCATTGGTCTTGAACAGGTGTTCTTAACACTAAGTAGCTTTTGTGGGGAAATTAAATTAAAATTATACATAATATGAACTATTCCCTCAGTCTTCTGGGTGTCTTGGAATAATTTTACCCTAGAAAGAGTACAGCTTTAAAGTCTGTATGCTCAGCTGTTATAATTCTCTGCTTGTTCTTTCACATTCACAGCTGCTTATAATTGAAAACAACAGTTAACAGTAATGGATTAAAATATTTGACAGTTTTTCATTTTTCCTGTAGTAATCAAATCCAAATTTTTATCTATTAATACACTGATTTTTTTATTTTATTTTTTTAGATTACCTAAACAAGGTATTGAAAGCTGGCAGAAATTTCACTGAATACATCCCTAACAAAATTATTATCCATTTATAAGATCTGCACATAAAGATGTTTCAGTCTGAGAGATAAGTAAGTTCAACCCATCTTCTCACAATTTGTTTTGAAATACCCAATTGCTCCATACATACTGTTTTATAAAAAAGGTTAAGGGCATGCTTACGGACATGCTGAGGTAAGTGACTCTTGCACATTAAAAGAAACCAGTCACGGCAAAAAGCTGCTTCTGCATGCATGGGAAGACTTGTAAAATTGTCATGCTTTAAAATATGCTGTTCTTATTATTGGCATAAAGGAGGGTTGGGGGGGGGGGGTGTGTATATGTATATATATATAAATCTATAAACACCAGAAGGATCCAATTTTTTTTCAATATCAGCACATAATCTTCCCTAAAGGATCTTAAATTTTAAACATATGAGGACAAGTTTATTAAATTGCAATTGAACATAAAATAACTCATTTAACTTTTACCTGAAATGCTCAATTTCAGATGAGGAAGTTTTCTTACAAGTTCATATCAAAATCTTTGTATCAAAATCTGTAAAGAATTTATTCCAGTACTTAAAAAGTTATCTCCTGCATAGTCTTTCAAACAGTTACTCTGAAATTAAAACAGCTCTCTAACCTCATAGGGTTTTTTGTTTTGGTTTGGGGCTTTTTTTTGTTGTTGTTTTGTTTCAGGGTTTGTTTTTTTTTTTCCCAATGAAGGCATCACATACTTAAAAAAAAAAAGTATGTCTGGGCCAAGAATAATGTTAACACACCAGTGTTAGTATTATACTGATAACAAAAAACATTTCTTGAGTTCCTGTTACAGGTTTGACCCAATTTCTCATATAAATTGATGGAAAAACTCCCACTAACTTCAGGGAAGGGGGAGGGGAAAATAACACAAAAGAAAGAAACAAAGCCCAAAAAAACCCCAAACCACACCCCCTCCCCCCCCCAAAAAAACCCAAACAAACAACACCCAGATGTATAGAACATACAGTGGTTACTTCCAACAGGAAGAAAAGGAATTACACTAAAATAATCGGGAAAAATGTGACTGTGGTTTAAATGGTAAAATAACAGAGCTAAGAGAGACCTACGGTGTTCTCTCAAATTATGTCTATGCAGAATTTTAGTTGACTTTATTAGAATTTTTATTTAATTTGCATTAGAAACTTTTAGCAAGTTGTAACTGATGATGAAGAAAGGCCTTAATGAAGTGACCAAAAAAAATCCCTGTTTGTAGTGATAACAGTAAGAATTAAAGAGATTTTTGATATATAGTTTAAATTAATCCTACTTTAAACATCACAGATTCAAGTCAGCCTATTCAGAACACCAATCAACATAAAAAAATAAAATAAAATCCACACAATAATATTATTTAAATGAAATTAGTACTCTGACATTCCCCATCACAAGTAAATAATGATTTCAGTGGCATTCAAACATAGTTCAGAACAAGCTCATGCTGTCTGATCCAGACCAGCAACTGTCTTGGGTTCATCTGTAGCAGTCATTTTTCTCCTTCTTAGTAGCTGTTGCAGTGCTGTGTTTTTGACTTTAGCCTGAGAACAATGCTGATAACACCTTTGTTTTTAGTTATTGCTAAGTAATGTTTACTCCAATCAAGGACTTCCCAGTCTCTCATGCTCTTCCAGGGAGGAGTGGCATGGGAAGCCAGGAGGAAACAAGAGACAAGACACCTGCGTGGTTCTGAGTTACTGGCTGGGCTTAAACCATGACAGCAACCCATCCCTTCAGACCACCACAGTTTTTACTAATCCGACTCTCAAGCCTTTAAATTCCTGTGCCAAGGCTCAATCCATCCACCAACAGCTGCTTATTTTAGGACTGACATGACTATTTTTATGCCTTGTGTGCACAGCTCATGCAAGCACATGTAGTTGGGTGTGATTCATCTCACTTCAGCCAAAAGTTATCGATCCTAAACTGTTTGTAAGGGAGGTTTAGACAAATAACGGAAAAAAAAAACCACTGCCAGAGGTATCCTCTCTAGGTGCTTACTTCTTCCCATTGACTCAGAAGGATATTCACAGAACAGCAAACTAGACACCTAAAATTAGAGATGACTTCCACCCATACTGAACACATATATGTGTCCATATTTGCACACACAATATAAGACAGCTAGTTCCATAAATATGCCACGTGTGACACAGCAATGACATTAATAAAAACTCTGGACAGAAAATGAACTACTAAGTGGGAGACAAAAATCAGTTGTGCACATTTGTTATATATAGTTAAGGGTGAGCTTATTTATTACTTCTGCCTAAAAAGGAAGAAGAAAAAACTAATGCGTGACACGTTCAAGCAGCAAAACTTGGGAGTAAACAAATAAGTAAATGTCTGTATCTAGTAAAGGTCTGTATCTAGTCTGGTTCTCTAGGGTACTTTACATCTTTAAATATAAAGCTTATTTCCTTATATAAATGCTTTAACACACAAAAAGAGCATTTGGATGAATACTCTGAATGCTCCTATTGTAGCAAACAGCTCTACTGATTTTGGGGTAGCTAATCAAGGATTTTAAGTTATGTTTTCCCAAGTTTGGTGATGAAAGCTTAGTGTGGTTGTTCCCCCCCCTTAAAGGTATGTGTGTGTTGGCACATGTATGTGGGTATACTGGGGGAGAGGGTTAACTACATATATAGTCTCTATAAAGTAAAGAAAACAATACCATGGTAATAAAACCCAAAAGAGAAAAACAAAACAAATACAGATAAAAGCAAACCTTGTTTTTATCATAACCTGAAGTAATATCAGGATTGCAAAGATAATTTTTTTTAAGTTTATGATTGATTCAGATCAGGCTCTGCAATATTCCCATGCTCTGGAAAGATAGGTGAAAAATTATTATTAAAAGTCACTGGAAACTCTAGCATAGCATCGTCATTTTGATAGCCCACATAAGAATTAAATGTCTGCTGTGGAAGTACTTGGCTATCAGACGTCTGTATGAAAGACCCTGACTGTGGCAGGGGGGCTTTTTTGGTCAATTAGTTGAATTTTAGGCTCCCTGGGCTCCAGTTGTTGCTTGCTTTCTTCATTTGTTTCAAGTCGGGTTAGCTTTTCTATCCACATGCGAAATTTCTGCATCTTAGCAAAGCAGTTCATGGCCTCTTCCAGGACACTGCCTATGCAGTTCCTATCCCACACGGTACCCATGTTGAGCAATCCTGGAATTTCCCTGGTCGCTCCTCCAGCACGACTGAAGCCAGCTTTAAAGACATTGAGGCCATTTGATAAAACATCATTAAGTAAGAACATAATAATGTTTATTAAGTCATGTTAACTCGGGAAAGCAACTTTTCTAACTGTTTCCCCTGGATATGACCGGGAGGGGCGGGGGCACAGAATTAGCAAATATTAGCCATCAGTATTGCCATAAAAGAAAAGAAAAAAAAATTACACTCACTGAGGTTATAATGGGAATTTTGGCTTCAAAATTATTTTTATTCTAGAATTCTCAGACAATTCTGTCACAAAGGTAGGGGGATTTTTTTTCCCAATAAACCAAATTAGTCCAATTCCCTTAAAATATCTGTTCTGAATTCAACTGAAGGTGTCAAAACCATTACACAATAACGTTTAGTTCTGTTATGCTGAGATACAAAATACTGTTTAATTAATAAACCTTAATAATTATGCTTATTTTACTTACATACTTGAACCCTTTTATAATGGATTGTTAAACACAAAATTGTACATAATATAACAGAGATAAAGTCTGATATAGTGATTGCAGCATCTAAAGTAGCCAAGCCCAAAGCTCTTGGTCTAGTTTTGGAAAACACACTAAACACCAATGAAGAGAATTCACAGCACAAACATATGCAAGAACATGAAAAGATATGCAAATGCTATCCTAATATACAAGATGAAAGCAACCTGTGCTAGGTCTGATGGACACAGCTGCATCACAGGAGTGATGCCCACAAGACATGTAGGAGTGATAAACCTCACACCAACTGGAAGCATGCCCTTCATTGCATGAGCCACCGGCTGTGCAGCATTTCTAGCACTAATTCTAGGCAAGGCAGAAAACAGGATATAGTTGGAAGGAAATTGTTCTCCTTCCTTCTATCCATCAAAAAAAGACAGTTAAAATGACCAGCTCTGGGATTATCAGGAAGAACTTCAGCAGCAAGAAGAGAAGGAAATCCTCATTATATTACTCTGCATATCAATAAGAAAAGGCAGCGGTGTCTATGTTTTTAAGTTTAGAGTTCACTCAGGAATCCTCTAGGAAGCAATAAAAACACAAGAAAAAGAGGCTTTATACCTATTTGAGGAGCAATAAACAATATATGCATGCTGTCCAAACACACAAATTTTACCTATAGCAATTCTGAAACAAGACAAGCACCACATTAAACTACGCAAAGCAACTGCAGAACCTGACAATTTAATATATAAATGTGAAACCTGTGGGAACCTCTAGCTTAAGAATAATAGAAACTATCTTGAGAATGAGAAAAATCATTGCACATCCTAAGCAAACATTTACTAATAAAAACCATAAGGCACTAAATCTTTATTGGGATCTCACTATGTACATGAAATTACAGAATTAAACAATACATTCTTCGTAGGAGCTATTTAAATGAGGTATACATATACCTCAGTAACAGCTAAACAAAGCACAGGATTATACTCTTATTTCTGAGAAGTAGCAATGCTGCCTGTCAGGGGCTAAAACCATTGTATTAAAACCCCTTACTTTTTAAGTCTTCTCTCCCATCTGTTTACTTATGAGACAGGCTAAAAATTCAGCATTCAGGTCCTCTGCTCAAAAATAAATTACTTTACAGCAACTAATTTATATCCAGTGGCATTTTAACTAAAATTAATTAAGTAAAATTGTACCTTTTTTCCTACAATGCGATTCCTTTTGTATATTCAATCTATTTTCCTCCCTGGAAAAAAAAAATAAATCTTCTGTTCATATACTCCTAGTGCTGAACATCCAATGATTCTGCTTATTTGTCTTTATTCAGGGATCTTATCCTAAGATCAAGTAACTTAAATGTCAGTCTTTCTGATTTCCACAGGCTTACAGTCAGACACCTTTAAGTAATAACTGTGAGGTGATGAGGCACTGGAACAGGCTGCCCAAGGAAGAGGTGAATGCTCCATCCCTAGCAGTGTTCAAGGCCAGGTTGGATGGAGCCTTTGGTGACATGGTTTAGTACGAGGTGTCCCTGCCCATGGCAGGGGGGTTAGAACTAGATGATATTAAGGTCCATTCCAACCCTAATTATTCCATGATTATATAATAATGAGTAAGCTTTAATTGCAATTTAAATAAAAACTATTGATGATGATAGCTATCTAAGCTTTCAAAGTTAAGAATGAACTAGCATGTTCAAAGTTGACCAAATTTTGTAAACTGAAGAAACTGTGTATTGAAATATATGTTACCTTGCAATACTATTTTTAAAAGGCATCATTCATAGCATATTTACAATTTACAGTAGCAGCAAATCAGTGCTTCAAATGTTTCCCTTACAGTTCTTAAAACAATCTTTATTGGTGGCCTTCAGGGTTAAAAAGAAAATCAAGCCTAAAAATGCTAGCATTTACCTAATTTGTCTCTTTATCTGTAAACTCACAGCTCAATAGTTTTGGAAGCTATGTCAAGTTAAAGGGTGAAGAAATTTGCAAAGGGATCATGTCCTGGGTTCAGCTGCAGCAGTCATTTTTCTCCTTCGTAGTAGCTGGTGCAGTGCTGTGTTTTTGACTTTAGCCTGAGAACAACACTGATAACACATCGATGTTTTAGTTGCTGCACAGTAGTGTGTACCCCGATCAAGGACTTTTCAGTCTCATGCTCTGCCAGTGAGGAGAGGCACAAGAAGCCAGGAGGAAGCGAAGACAGGACACCTGACCCAGACTAGCCAAAGGGGTATTCCACATCACAACATGTCTTGCCCAGTATATAAACTGGGGTGAGTCACCTGCAAGGCCCAGTTCGCTGCTCGGGTCAGGCTAGGTATCTGTCAGCAGGTGGTGAGTAATTGTATTGTGCATCATACATGTTTATTGGTTTTCTTTTCCTTTTCCTCTTTTAGTTTTATATTCTCTCCCCTTGTTATTTCCCTTTTAAATATTATTATTAGTGGTAGTAGCAATAGTTTTGTATGGTACCTTACTTATTGGGCTGTTCTTATCTCAACCTGTGGGGTTTACATAGTTTCAGTTCTCCCCCCCATCCCTCTGGGAGTGGGGGCAGGGAAGAAGGGGGGAGTGAGTGAGCGGCTGTGTGGTTCTGAGTTATCAGCTGGGCTTAAACCACAACAGTCTTCTTGCTTTCTGATACCCTGTATTATTTTCTAACAAAGTGTTCATTCCCTAAATTTTGAGGATATTCATAGTGTAATGCTAAGTGCTCTATGCTCTAAAATGGCTTTCTAGTAATAAAAAAAAAAAAAAAGTTAAGCACTTTGCGAGTTCCAAGAAGAGGGATCGCAGATGGCATGTGAATCTACCACTGTGACAGATAGCTGGGAGTCTTACTCAGATTCGCAGCTCCACTACATCTGTTAAGACCACAACATTTCATTAACCCACTAGTAGCACAGGATGCATTTTTGGCCAGCCTTGTCCTTATCTCTATGAAGATTATTTTTTACTTGTAGACTGTTTCCCACAAACCACAGTCATTTTTACTTAAAGGAAAAAGACAATGTGGCAGGTACATATTACCCCTAATTCCAAAAGGACAGCTCAAAAGTTTTAATGTTTTAAATGCAGTTTAGTATCAAGCAGATGATATGCGCTATGTAATAGGAATAAAAGTAATTTTTCCTCAGGATGTTTTTTTCACTCCCACATCACAGGTAAAATTGGGCCTTGGTGTAATCATCACTAAATAAGTTCTTTTCTACGCTGCAATGGGACCTTTTCACTGCAAGCATCTCACTGTTAAGACCAAGAGCTCAAACACAGAAAAGCCTAGTGATACAGAAAATGCACCCCAGAGTGGCTTCAGATCCCTAGAATGGAAGTCAGAAATCTAAGAAGATCTGAAAATACCATGTGGTGCCTTTCTGGGTCACAAGGTATTCCATGACTTAAAGAATATAACCTGGGGGATTTATTGGGTGGTTTGGGTTTTTTGAGGTCTGAGGAACCTGTCCCAGAACTCAGTAAGTCTTCTTTGACAGGCTTTAAATCAGGCTTTAATTGCCCAGCAAAGTGTAAATATAGTAAATGGAAAGGCACAAAACTACAAAAGCTAGAACTTTGACTAACTACTAAATTGGTAAAAAAAAAAATAATAATAAATGTAGATCTCTATTAAAAGTTTACTACACAAAAATTACAGCAGGACTACGTTTTTCCCAGACTTACTAATAATACACATTAACTTCTTTTCTAGCAATGTGGGGAAAATGCCACTTCTCATGGTCCCAGAATTATTCACCATAATGAAGTCAGTTAAAAGTTATTTGTAAAATCTACTGCAAATATTTTAAATAATTCATCCAGCAAAAAGTTCAGCAACTTAAGACTAATTATTGCAGTTTTCCTTTAAATGTTCTTGCCCTGTGTAAGCTGATATCTCAAAAAAAACCCCACAACCTTCTAGCACAAAAGGCAGAAAGCCACGTAACCCAGTAAAAATTGGCAAACCAAAAAGTTTGGTTTTATGTGACTTTATTTTTGATTGCCATGTAATAATATGCTGAAAGAATAATTCACACAAAATTCTGCCCATGACACTTGAGCTAATGAAATAACAAAGACTCAGCAGAAAAAAACCTTGAATTCATCTTTCGTTTGCTAATAAAATCATGAGAAGGCCTCTATAATTTGCTGCCTCCAATCTTAACATGGATGTGTCAGAAAATTAAAAGTATAGAAACAATAGATCCTTATGATATAGGAAAATGGTAACAGCTTTGTCTAAGATGCTGAAAATTTAGGGGTGGATATAGCTTGGGCACCTGTGTAAACAAATTCATATTTATGTCCTAAAATAGGTGACCAGCTGCAATCTGCAAGAACTTACAAAGCTAAGTAGCTTTGTCATGCACTGAAATGTATAGCTGAAAGCACATGGCAAGTGCAATAATCAACAGGGCCTTACTGTGACACAAGAGGTATGCCATGTTATTTCTAACACAGCTGCTGAGCTGTTGTCTTAATGTATTAAAGCAAAGCTTGCCGCTTATCTTAAGAATGTATTTACTAGATTATCACCGTCTAATGGGATTTGACAGTACTGATAGGATTTCATAGAACCTTACAAAGGAAAAGATCTGAAAATTCCAGAATTCAAAGATAGCCCTTCCTCCAATTTACCATTTCTAAGCTTTGTTGGTGTGAAAAAGTGCACTGAAATCTCAGAACAGATTTTAAAATTTGCCCATGTCTTGTTAATATACTGCAGTCTTCACATTTACAGAGATGCAGTTCTGTTCTTTCTCAAGTGTCACTCATCTAATTTAGCACGACAACCGAGAAACAACATCTGATGTGTTACAGTTCAGTTTAAAAAACATCCTCTACCTGGTATCTCTGCAGTGATTGTCTTGCTGCTCCCTGAAACTTCATCATCATCTGATGAGCTCGAGTCACACGTCAGGTCACTATCACTGGTACTGCTGTCCTGCAGCAGGTTGTACTTCCTGCGAGCAGCTGCCTCCCGTTTCTGTCTTAAGAGCCGGATTCTTTCTTTGTGCTTTTTGCTTCGATGACCTTTTACCTTGGTAACTCGACCATTCTGCTTATCAGTAGACTGTCGGTTTTTCTTGGCAACCATTGTTGAAGTTTCACTTTCGGACCTGGATCGCCTGGATTTCCTCCCAACTGCAGCCCCGGACACCACAGAAGAGTCTCCCTCTACAGCAGCTTCAGCCTGACAATGCTCATTCTCTTCTGTGGAAGACAACGTATCTGAGTCGGCCAAATGCCCGCTGGAAGAAGGAGAAAGCATGCAGTGATTAGAAGAGTCACTCTCGTAAACTTGACCACCTGTTGGCTTATGGCTCTCCATAAATGCTAGCTGAGACTCCAAGGAGTCTCGCCTCAGTTCCATCAGTAAGCAAGGCATCGAAGAGAGCACCCCAGAGCCTGCTGCAGTGGGCATGTTGTCTTTCCGAGTTTGTGTCTTGAGTTCTATAGGTCTGTCTTCATCAGGAGCGGTCTCCTGCTTTTCAGAAGTCTTTGGTGGAACTTCTGAATCAAGTTGTTCTGCTTTTCCCACTGCTTCCATCTTCATTTCAGAACACCACGGTCTTCCTGGTCTCAAAGCATGGAGCACACTCTCTGAAAGACTGGGTGAATTAGATACGAACTTCAGCAGTACAGCAGCCTGCACAAGAACAGTAAGAATAATTTACCCAAATAACTCACTCAATCCTGGTCTTCACAGAATTACCTAAACAACTCAAAGCTTTCAATGACAGACAGTATGGTTCAGTATCTTAATGAACCCTGGCGGTGTTCAAGGCCAGGTTGGATAGAGCCTTGGGTGACAGGGTGTAGTGGGAGGTGTCCCTGCCCATGGCAGGGGGGGTGGAACTAGATGATCTTAAGGTCCTTTCCAACCCTAACTATTCTATGATTCTAATGGTTTTCCTCATTTACTTTTTCCTAGTGAACTCACCCTATTACATAGAATCATACAATGGTTTGGGTTGGAAAGGACCTTAAGATCATCTAGTTCCAAGTCCCCTGACGTGGGCAGGGATGCCTCCCACTAGATCAGGTTGCTCAAGGTCCTGTCCAATCTGGCCTTGAACACTTCCAGGAGCATTTGCTGCTTCTTCAGGCAACCTGTTCCAGTGCCTCACCACTCACTGACATACAAATCTACCTAAGGCACATTTCTGGGAGTGGAGCTGGCTCTTTATCAGATTATTCATAAATCAGGACTGATAGCAACCCTAAAGAATAGGACCCTTCACAACCCACATGGTAAGAGAACTGTGGTGTGAAACAAAAGAAGAAAGGATTAAACTAATGCTGTGTTTCAGAGGTTTTGCATAAACAAAAAAAGGTTAAACATAGGCTGTTCCGAGTGCTCAACAGGATGCATAGACAAGTTACCCATAACTGAATAAAATTTACAAGTATATGTGTTAAGACAAAGGTTTGCAGAATATCCTTTGCAATAAGAACAGCAATATTTTTTCACCATAAATAAGAAGCAAGACCTGACAATTAAATACAGGCTTTCGCATCGTAATTCTTAATGCACATATTCTGCCTCTTTCAAATGAAAGGCAACTACCAACTATGGGATAGTTCATAAGCCTGCACACAGGCTTCTAGAAACATTCACCAGCTGCACTGGAATAACACACACACACACACACAAAATCATCACAGTCCTCAAAAATGAATTCATTATCATACAGATAAAAGGACACAGAGATGGCTGCACTTAGCCTTCTACAAAACAGAAAAAAACTCTTTTTTTCTGACAGAGAAAGCATTTTTCTTAAATGTGCAACAATTTAAAGTCTACAACTGTCGTTAAAAATTATAGGGGGCATATTTTTGTTACCGTCTGTTCCTAATAATTAAAGTGACTCACGCAGACTTTTCATTATTCTTTCAACATAACCAGTGGTACAAAATAATACTAGGGCAGTCATAGAATCATAGAATCATAGAATAGTTAGGGTTGGAAAGGAACTTAAGATCATCCAGTTCCAAACCCCCTGCCACAGGCAAGGACACCTCACACTAACCCATGTCACCCAAGGCTCCGTCCAACCTGGCCTTGAACACTGCCAGGGATGGAGCATTCCGCTTCCTTGGCCAACCCATTCCAGTGCCTCACCACCCTCACAGGAAAGAACTTCCTTCTTATCTCCAACCTAAACTTCCCCTGTTTAAGTTTTAACCCGTTACCCCTTGTCCTGTCACTACAGTCTCTAATGAAGAGTCCCTCTCCAGCATCCCTATAGGCCCCCTTCAGATACTGGAAGGCTGCTATGAGGTCTCCACGCAGCCTTCTCTTCTCCAGGCTGAACAGCTCCAACTTCCTCAGCCTGTCTTCATACGGGAGGTGCTCCAGTCCCCTGATCATCCTCGTGGCCCTCCTCTGGACGTGTTCCAACAGTTCCATGTCCTTTTTAAGGACACCAGAACTGCACTCAATACTCCAAATGAGGTCTCACAAGAGAAGAGTAGAGGGGCAGGATCACCTCCTTTCACCTGCTGGTCACGCTCCTCTTGATGCAGCCCAGGATATGGTTGGCTTTCTGGGCTGCAAGAGCACACTGCCGGCTCATGTTCATTTTCTCATCAACCAACACCCCCAAGTCCTTTTCCACAGGGCTACTGTGAATTGCTTCTCCGCCCAACATGTTGCTGTGCCTGGGATTGCTCTGACACAGGTGTAGGACCTTGCACTTGGCATGGTTAAACTTCATGAGGTTGGCATTGATCCACCTCACAAGCATGTCAAGATTCCTCTGGATGGCATTCCTTCCCTCCAGGGTATCAACTGAACCACACAGCTTGGTGTCATCAGCAAACCTGCTGAGGGTGCACTCAATCCCACTGTCCATGTCACCGACAAAGATGTTGAACAAGACCGGTCCCAACACCAATCCCTGAGGGACACCACTCGTTACTGGTCTCCAGCTGGACATTGAGCCATTGACCACAGCTCTTTGTGTGCGGCCATCCAGCCAGTTCTTTATCCATTCAGTGGTCCATCCATCAAACTGATGTCGCTCCAATTTAGAGACAAGGATGTCGTGTGGGACAGTGTCAAAGCTTTGCACAAGTCCAGGTAGATGACATCAGCTGCTCTACCCCTGTCCATCAGTTCTGTAGCCCCATCCTAGAAGGCCACCAAATTGGTCAGGCAGGATTTCCCCTTAGTGAAGCCATGCTGGCTGTCACCAAGCACCTTGTTGATTTTCATGTGCCTTAGCATGCCATCCAGGAGAATCTGCTCCAAGATTTTGCCAGGCACAGAGGTGAGACTGACTGGTCTGTAATTCCCCAAGTCATCCATTTTCCCTTTCTTGAAAATGGGGGTTATATTTCCCTTTTTCCAGTCATCGGGAACTTCACCTGACTGCCACCATTTTTCAAATATGATTGCCAGCGGCTTCGCAACTTCATTTGCCAGCTCCTTCAGGACCCACGGATGGATCTCATCAGGACCCATGGACTTGTGCACCTTCAGATTTTTAAGATGGTCTCGAAACAGATCCTCTCCTACAGTGGGCGCAAGGTCTTCATTCTCACAGTCCCTGCATCTGACTTCCAAGACTTGGGTGGTGCAGTCAGAGCCTTTGGCAGTGAAGACCGAAGCAAAGAAGTCATTCAGAACCTCAGCCTTCTCCAAATCCTGTGTAGCCAGTTCTCCTGAGAGCTTCCTGAGGGGGCCTACATTCTCCCTAGTCTGTTTTTTATTTGCTATGTACCTGTAGAATCCCTTCCTGTTATCTTTAATACCTCTAGCTAAGTTTAATTCTAACTGACCCTTAGCTTTCCTAACCTGGTCCCTAGCTTCTCGGACAACATCCCTGTACTCTTCCCATGCCACCTGTCCTTGCTTCCACTTTTTATAAGCCTCTTTTTTCGTTTGAATTTTCCTCAGGAGCTCCTTGTCCATCCAAAGAGGTCTCCTGGCCCTCCTGCTGCACTTCCTTCTGGTTGGGATGCAACACTCCTGAGCTTGTAGCAGGTGATCCTTGAATATCAACCAACAGTCTTGGGCCCCTCTGCCTTCTAGGGCTGTATCCCATGGAACCTTACTAAGCAGGTTCCTGAAGAAGCCAAAGTCTGCTCTTTTGAATTCCAGAGCAGTGAGCTTGCTGCACACTCTTCTCACTGTCCTGAGGATCTCAAAATTTGAGCATCTCATGATTGCTGCAACCAAGGCTGCCCTGGAGCGTCACATTTCCAACGAGCCCTTCCCTGTTGGTGAGCACAAGGTCAAGCATGGCACCTCTCCTTGTCTCCTCCTCTATTACTTGCAGAAGGAAGTTGTCTTCTACACAATGGAGGAACCTCCTGGATTGCTTGTGCCGGGCAGTACCGTCCTTCCAACAAATGTCAGGGTGGTTGAAGTCACCCATGAGAACAAGGGCCTGCGAGTGTGAGGCTTTTCTTATCTGTCTATGGAGTGCTTCACCCGCAGGTTCTCCTTGATCAGGCGGTCTGTAACAGATCCCCACAGTAATGTCTCCCATAGCTATATTCCCTTTAACCCTGACCCACAAACTCTCTGTGGGCTGCTCACCTGTCCCCAGACAGAGTTCCATACTCTCCAGAGATTATGCATCTTTAAAGAGATATCAAAATTGGATTAAATATGGGCTTGAGAATGCTATACCTAAAGCAGTAAATTGGTCGGTGCTATTCGAAATAAGACAGGGGCCAAAGGAGTCACCGACAGTTTCTGGACAAGCTCAGAGAAACTATGCGAAAATACACCAAAATGGATCCTTCCTCAGAGGAAGGGAAATTACAGCTTGCAAATTCCTTTGTGGGGCAGTCATCAGAGGATATCAGACGAAAGCTCCAAAAATTATCTGCGACTGAAATAAGAAATATAGAAAAATTATTGGAAGTGGCCTGGAAAGTATACAGGAATAGAGAACAAGTAAAAGAGAAGAAATTAGGAAAGGTTTTGGCAACAGCCACAGTCACAGCATTGGAACAAGCAAATGAGGGATATAATGGAATGAGAGGTAGAGGGCGTGACCGGGGAATGGGGACAAACGGTAGAGGGGGGGATTATAGAAGGACTTCTCTTAGTCCGGATCAATGTGCAAACTGTAAAGGGTTTGGACACTGGAAACGGGAATGTCCACAAAGAAAACAACAAACTCAACTGACTACTGAACTAGAATTAGATTGACGGGGACCTGGGGAATCTACCCTAGCAGATCCACTGGTTAAAATCAAGCTAGGGACCACAGAAAAAGTAGAATTTCTCATAGACACTGGGGCAACTTATTCGGTCCTGAATCAAGATCTAACATTAAAAGAAAAAGAGTCTGCAATGGTTGTGGGAGCTACTGGCCGCCAAGAAAAAGCATTCTCTCTAAAACCTTTAAAATATAAGATAGGAAAACAAATTGGGGTACATAAGTTTCTATCTATGCCAAATTCACCCAAATCATTATTAGGAAGAGATTTATTAGAACACTTAGAAGCAACCATAACTTTCAAAGAAGGTGAAATAGAACTAAAAGTAAAGGAGGATCAATTTATTGAAGCTTTGAGTGTATCATTAATTCAACAGGAAATCAGGAAGTCCAATTCGCCCGAAGTAGAAGAAATCTTCAATCAGGTATACCCAGGAGTCTGGGCATCTGAAATCCCAGGTAAGGCGAAGAATGCTTTGCCTATTAAAATTGAAATAAAAAGGGGGGCCTGCCCAGTCCGAATAAAACAGTATCCTTTAAGGACAGAAGATAGAAGGGGAATTAAGGAAATAATTGATAGATTTCTAAAATATGGTCTGTTAGTGGAATGTGAATCGGAATATAACACCCCCATCCTACCAGTAAAGAAAGCAGATGGGAAAAGCTATAGGCTAGTTCAAGATTTAAGGGCACTAAATAAAATAGTAGAGGACATCTACC